AGACTTTCTGCTCAAAAAGAGAGGATAACGACAAGAGAGAGCGAGAGAGAGATGGCATCTGTTTGAGCCACCACATCTACTGGCTGATAATAGTGTCTTCCCTGTGGAAGAGCATGTATGGCTAAGGTAGGGATCATGAAGCAACTGTGGGCACACAGTTAACGTTGACACTTCACTTCAACCCCAGCCATCCATGAGGTAACTCATCCTCAACATGAGGGATTGCCCATGATGATAATAATGCTGATTCATCAGGATCCCACTGGGATCCTGAAGATGGGGTCAGCTGTCCAAAACAAAGGGGTTCTATCATTGTAGTGTTTGTAAAGTGTGTGTTATCGTGATGGCAGATTGTTGGCCATATCAGGATAAGGGCAGAGTGGAATTTAACAGATTAGCCATGATCTTACTTCATAGATGAGTAGCTTGAGGGGCCAAATGGCCTACTCCTGCTCCTGAGGTTTCTTATTTCTGGTGTGAAACTTTCACATATGGCCCACAATAAAATGTATGCTTTTACGTTCTCACATTCTTCATAAATAAAGAATTACTTATGAAGCATCGCACAGCATGTGGCCATCTGTCATTGCTCCTACTCTGGCCTTCGTTTCCTACACTATTCCTACAAAGCTCAAGGTACCGAGCCTTATCTCTCGCTTAGCTACTTTACACCCTTCTGCACTTAACATTTCACATAGCCCTCCCTCACTGGTGTTAACGGTCATGGGAGGAATGTTGGCCAAGACATTGGGACTAACCCCTTCCCTTCTTCAACAAGTACCAGGAGATATTTAACAACCAACTGAGTAGACAGACAACACCTATAATTCAATGCCTATTCCCACAGCAAGTTCAGTTGGTGCTGAGCTGAATTCGGGATGAGATGACGAGCATCGAGCCCACTGCCCTTGTGCTATCTCTTGTTTTAGTTCGGAATGGCCTGTCTCAGACAGTGTCGGTATATGAAGGCCACATACAGCTTGGGACTGATTGAGGCGCAAAGCCCTGGAGTCATCACTTGCACACACCAATCAAAGTTAAATACGCAGAGAGAAGGATTGAGCCTGTTGAATATGACATTGACTCAGGAACCTGACCGCACCTTCAGTAGGTCCTCAGCAAAATTGCAGGTCGAATATGAGTAGGCTGTAGGTTTACTGGTAGATAGAATGATGGAGATTTTGTGGCAGAGAAGGTAGTGCCCTGGCCTCTGTGTCAGAAGCTCTGGGTTTGAGACCCACTGTAGGACTCAATGGCCAAGGAAAGTTCACTCAAAATGCAAACAAGCAGGTCAATTTTTAACTTGTACGTCTTTCTAAAATGCACCAATGATAGGCAATAAGTTCAGGAGAGATTCCTGGTTTGCTGTGTAATGGGAAGAATATCAGAGGCATTCCATCACTGCCCACTGTCCAAGATAAATATAAAAGTGGATGTTGCCACCATTATGGACCAGACCAAACCCCCTCAAAATATTCAGAAAACAGTCTAGACCCCAACCTTTTCTTATTTTAAAGGTAAATGCAATGTGTTGTGTTCCAGATGCAATTCGATTGGTCAAACTACGAATTTAAAGCAACATACACTTTATTCATCCACTATTGTCAAAATACAACAAAAGAAAGAAGGAATTGGAATATCTTAACTCTTTCAGAAAAATAAACAGAATAAAAGATACGGTACCTAATACTAATTAACTGTTCCAATATAGTAACATCCCATAAACATACCCTTGGAAAAAGGCAAATTCAGAAAACTGATTGTTTCCCATGCAATTCACGCAGCAGGACGAGAATCCCCAGCTTTTGGCTGTAACCGAGAGCAAGAAAAAATAGCTTTCACTTCTTCCAGATCCCTACAGCAATTGCTGAAAGCTAAACCAAAGGCCTTCATTCTGTGGGAGCTTGACCACCACCCATTCAGGCTGCTTCTATTGTTCCAACTTTAAAAAAAAACCAATGCCTCACAAGCTGTTTACTGGCTCTGATAGACTGCTTGGTACCTCTGTCTTAAAACCTCTCTTCAAAAAAAAAGGACAAAATAACCTCACAAAGCCTCAGCATCATCACAACATAGCAACTCAGACTCCCTGAACAAGCTATATTAAGACATTTTACACCTATTTCAACTAATCCATGGCCTGAGCAGCAAAATCAAGACCAACACTCCACTGAGGGAGTGTACACTGCCAGAGGAGCTATCTTTCAGATGAGACATTAAGCTGAGGTCAATACTGCCTGCTCAGGTGAAGGTAAAAGATTCTGTGGCACCAAATCACAAAAATAGTTGTCCCAAGTTTCTTGGTTATTTGTCCCTCAATTAAAATCATGTTAGCAAAGTCTGTGGCTGTTTATCACATTACTGTCAACTTTAAATCTCAAAGAGGGTACAGATTTAAATTAATTAGCAAAAGAAGAAAAATTGATCTGAGAAAAAGCTTTTCTCATGCAGTGGGTCGTTAGGATCTGTATTGCACTGCCTGAGACTGTAGTCTATGTAGGTTCAATTGACAAGTTCAGAAGGGAAATAGGCTGTTGGTTGCAGAAGAAGAATGTGCAGAGTTATAGGGTGAAGGAATTATGGCACTGAGTGGAATAACCATTTGGAGAAGTGGTGCAGACACATTGGACTAAATGGCATTCCTTCTGCATTGTAACAATTCAATAATTTTGTGACTCTATCTATGAGAGCTTGCTGTGTGCGAATCATTTGCTGCATTGTCTACATTTACAGCAGTGACTACACTTCATAAACTGTGTCATTGGCTGGAATGACCTTTGAGGCATCTGGTGAGTGTGAAAATCTTTGGGGAAGTCTTTCTTAAAGCATCATTATCCGAATCAAATTCCAATGGTCCTGAACATTGTGCAATCACCAGTGAACATCTGCAATTCTGAGCTTACGATGGAGGGAAGGTCATTGACAAAGCAGCTGAAGATGGTTGGACCTAGAGCACTACCCTGAGGAACTCCCACAGAGATGTCCTGGAGCTGCAATGACTGACGTCTAACAACTACAACCATCTTCCTATGTGTCAGGTATGACTCCAACCAGTGGAGAGTTTGCCCCTGAAACCCATTGATTCCAGTTTTGCTGGGGCTCCTTGATACTACACTTGGTAAAGGACTGTCACTCTCACATCACCTCTGGAATTCAGCTCTTTTGTCCACTTTGAACCAAGGTTGCAATGAGACCAGGAGCTGAGTGGGCCTGGCAAAAGCCAAATTGGGCATCAGTGCCTAACAAGAGCTAATTCATAGAATCATAAGTACAAAAGAGGCCCATCAGCCCATTGAGTCTGTGCTAACAAAGCTACACTCATTGCTAAAGGTTATTGCTGAGCTAGTACTGCTTCATAGTATTGTTGATGACATTTTCCCTAACTTTCCTGATGGAATAAGTAGCAGGCAAATGATTGGTATTGAGAAATTTTCATTGAGAAATTACCTTTTCTTCTTGGAAAACCAGCATATCTAGAATTTATAGTGACAATGAGAAAACTGTTTCAGATATTTTAGAAAACAGAAATGATAAACACAATTAAGGTCAGACACCGGGAAAAATGTGTTATTTTTAGGGACAGAAAGGATATTTCTCTACACAAGTGGAAATCCCAATGACTCAACTGTTAAGTTGCCGGTAGCTGTTAGTCTCATGTGGTTCAATCAGATCTGGTCAACTTTTGTTGACAGCACTTTGAGTTTCACATCAAACCAATCCAAAGAAATTAATGTATCTTTGCAAAAACAAAAACAGGAATTTTTTTTTTTGTTTTTATTTCCCTCACTGCGTGACAATCTGAACCATGAGCTCAAACGCAGATTTTGTATTTTTAAAGAAAAAAATTCCCACGGCGTTTCAGCTTTAAGAGAAGCTGAGATTTGCAGAAATACAACAGGGGTTTATTGAAACCGCGGGAGTTTCTGTACAGACAGCACTGCAGAGAAACGGAGGTGTGTGGGTGAGGTGGAGGCGACCTCCTGCTTTACACAGTGCAGCAGTGCAGAGAGAGAGAGCGGGGGAGAGATCGCCTCCTTTAGCTCTGCACAGAGCTACTGGAGTCCTCTCATGCCACAGCTCTGAAGAGAGAGAGACTCAGAGAGATCGCCTGCTTTAAAGCGTGCAGCTCTACAAAGACAGACTGGAGACGTCTTGTACTACAGGGTGCACAAAGAGAGATCGCCTACTTTAGAGCGTACAGCTCTCCACAGAGAGTGGAGTCCTCCTGTACTACAGCGTGCACTGAGAATAGAGGGAGAACAAGACTCAGACAAATCGCCTGCCTTACAGCGTACAGCGATGTACACAGAGAGGGAGATCGCCCGCTTTAAAGTTCGCTGAGCCGTGCCCACAGCGAGGGAGACATCGGATTCCTGTGTTTTTGTTTTTCAACATGCACAGCGAGAGCCAGACTCAGAGGCTGCTTTAGTGTGTACAGCTCTACACACAGAGACTGGAGTCCTCCTGTATTACAGCAGGCACACACAGAGGGAAAGAGACTCAGACAGCTTTACAGCGTACAGCCGTGTTCAGAGAGTGAGAGAGGGGTGAGATCGCCTGCTTTAAAGTACTCACGGAGTAAGAAGGGTCCTCCTGTATTAACAGCGTGCACAAAGTGACAGGGAACAAGACTCAGAGAGATCACCTGCTTTGCAGGATACAGCTGTGCCCACAGAGAGAAAGAGTTCTTCTGTATTACAGCGTGCAGAGAGAGACAGAAATTGGAAACCTCCTGTACAACAGAGAGATCGCCTGCTTTAGGCTGTACAGTACTGTAGAGAGTGAACAAGACTCAGAGAGACTGCCTGCTCTAAAGTGTACAGCTCTACACGCACACAGAGAGAGGGGCAGGAGACCTCCAGCCTGCACACAGAGAGA